CTATGGTGTTACCTCAAAAAATTAAAAATTGAACTGCCATTTGACCCAGTGATCCCACTTCTAGGAATATATCCTAAGAAGCCTGAAACACCAATCAGAAAGAATATATGTACCCCTATGTTCATAGCAGCACTATTTGCAAATGCTAAGATCTGGAAACAGCCCAAATGTCTATCAATAGATGTGTGGATAAAAAAGCTGTGGTACATTAACACAATGGAATACTATGCAGCTGTAAGAAAGAAAGATCTCTTATCCTTTGAGATGACATGAAGGGACCTGGCAAACATTATGCTAAGCAAAATAAGCCAATCAGAGAAAAACAAATACCACATGATCTCACTTATTTGTGGAATATAATGAACAAGGTGGGCTGATGAACAAAACAGACCCAGATGTATAGAAAGGAATACAGTTCACACTGACAAACTTCAGAGGAGGGGGGCAGGTGGGAGGGATGAGATAAAACAAAGAACTTACATGCATGTATGTATAACCAATGAATATAGACAACAATGTTTGGGTGGGGGGTAGGGAGGAGGGTATCTGGGGGGAAAAAAACATCTGTAACAAAACTTAATTAATATTTTTTTAAAAAAGAAAAGAAAAACCAGTCATAAATGCAGGATATACTAATTGCAATGAAGAATAATTTACAGGGAATCAACAGTAGAGTAGATGAAGTGACAATCAAATCTGTGATCTAGAATATCAGAACACAAAAAACACCCAATCACAACAGCAAAAAGAGAAAGAATCCAAAAAAATGAAGACAGTGTAAGGAGCCTCGGAACAACTTCAAGCCTGTCAACATTTGCATCATTGGGGTGCCAGGAGGAGAGACACAGAGAGCTAGACATTAAAAACCTATTTGAAAAAGTAATGACTGAAAACTCCCCTAACCTGGTGAAGGAAATAGATATACAAGTACAGGAAGTGCAGAGCCCCAAACAAGATGAACCCAAAGAGGTCCACACCAAGACACATCATAATTAAAATGCAAAAGGTTAAAGACAGCTTGGCCGGTTTGGCTCAGTGGGTAGAGTGTCAGCCCGCAGTTAGAGAGAGATCGGGTTCGGTTCCTGCCAAGGGCACATACCTCAGTTGCAGTTTGTCCCTGGCCCCAGTTGGGGTTGTGTGGGTGGCAACCATTTGATGTGTCTCTCTCACATCGATGTTTCTCTCTCTCTCTCTTCCTCCTTCTCTCCCTCCCACTCTGTCTGAAGATAAATGCAAAAATGTCCTCGCGTGAGGATAAAAAACAAAACAAAACAAAAGGTTAAAGACAAACTGGGAATCTTAAAAGCAGCAAGAGAAATGAAATTAGTTATCTACAAAGGAACTCCCAGAAGACTGTCAGCTGATTTCTCAACAGAAACTTTGCAGGTCAGAAGGGATTGGCAAGAAATATTTAAAGTGATGAAAAGCATGGACCTATAACCAAGATTACTCTACCCAGCAAAGCTATCATTTAGAATTAAAGGACAGCCCTGGCCAGTTTTGCTCAATGGTTAGAGCATTGGCCCGTAGACCACTGAGTCACGGGTTCAATTCTGGCCAAGGGCACCTCAGTTGCAATTCATCCCCGACCCTGGTTGGGGTTGTGCATGAGGCAGCCATTTGATGTGTCCCTTTCACGTGGATGTTTCTCTCTCTATCTCTCTCTCTTCCTCTCTCCCTCTCTCCCACTCTGAATAAAAATGGAAAAATGTCCTTGGGTGAGGATAAACACACACACACACACACACACACACACACACACACACACACACATATATATGATCAAAGGACATATAAAGAGCTTCCTAGACAAAGAAAAGCTAAATGAGTTCATCACCACCAAACCAGTATTACATGAAATGTTAAAGGTTCTTCTTTTAGAAGAAGAAAAAATAGATTAAAAGTATGAACAATAAAATGGCAATAAATACATATCTATCAACAAATGAATCTAAAAAAAGCAAAGAAGCAGAACAGAAAAAAAAAAAAAGAAGAAGGGGACTTTTTCAACATGAAAAAGAGCATCTATAGCAACCGTGATACTTAAGAGTAAAAGACAAAATATTACTTCCCTAAGATCACAAATAAGGCAAGGAGGTCCTAGCCAGTGTAATAAAGAAAAAGAAATTAATTAAAGGAATCCAGATTGGAACAGAAGTAAAACTAGATCCCCAGAAGACATGAACAATCCACACAGAAAATTTTACAGAATCTATAAAAGTGGTAGTAGAACACAGGAATTCAGCATATTCCTAGGATAGAATATCAATATAATAAAATCACATTTCTATATATTGGCAATAAATAATTAAAAATTAACATTTTTTAAATATGCAAGTTGTCATAGCATCAAAACCAATGAAATACGTAAGTATAAATTGGATAAAAGCTGAGAAAGACCTGTACACTGAAAACTATAAAACACTGTCCAGAGAGGTTAAAGAAATTTTAATAAATGAATATGTTGCAATCCTGATAAAAACTCCAGCAGCTATATACAGAAATTGACAGGCTAATTCTAAAACTCACATGGAAATGTAAAATGCCTAAAATAGTCAGAACAACTTGAAAATAAAGTACAAAGCTGAAGAACAGTCTACATGGGAAAATCAGAGAGCTAATTCCAAACAAGTGCAGCATCACTATATGACATCATTTTAATGGAAAAAATTGCAATCACTTTGATATAGAGTGATATATTTTATGTTTGCAAAATATAAAAATATTACACGTCCCCTTTAATAACTGCCTCATCTTGTTCCTTTCTCTTTCCCAAAGGTAATCACAGTGAGTTTGGTAACCTTCTTTCCAGACCTTTTTTTTTTCATATATGTACACATATATGTAGCCTTAGAAAATTATAATATTACATGTGATGTTATACTATGAAGGAACATATGAGAATAATAAAACCTTCAATTCAGGACAACTATTATCTAAGGGTAGGGGCAGAGATGGGGTCAGGGTAAGGGTGTAGGACAAACAGGGAAGAATAAGGATGTCATTAGAAAGGGTTTAGCCTAGTCAGCTTCAAGTCTTTTGGTAATGTTTTATATCCTAACCTGGGTGGTAGAAAACAGGTATTCGTCACATTATTTTGTAATTTTTCAACATAAGTTAAAATGAACATATTCAGCAACTTAGAGATCTATCCATGTTACTATATATAAGTGTTTCTTTCATGCTGCAGAATATTTAATAGTCTGACTAGAAAATAGCTTACTTAGCCATTTATGGACACATAGGTTGTGGACAGTTCTATAAACATACAACATTGCTATAGCCTTCTTTTACTGTATAAGCCTTCCCGTGTACATGTAAGGTGTTCTGTCTTAAGATGTAATTGCTGGAGCACACAGCATATGCATTTTCAATTTTTTACATTAATAAAGAATGTCTTGCAATTAGCTGTATCAATTTATGTTCCCATCACTAGTAAAACAAAAAACCCATTTTTCCACACCTTCAACAATACTGGATATTAGTCTTTGTTAATTTTGCTACTTTAAATAAGGTGAAAATATCACTTCATTTTAATTTCCAATTCCTTGATTAATATTATGATTGAGTACCTTTCCTTATACTTATATGCTATCAATATTTTCTTTTCTATAAATAGTCTATTTGTATCCTTTATTAATTTTTAGAATTTTGGTTGTCTTTTTCTTATTGGTATTTTATACTTCTTAAACACTGCTGAAATTATTAAACACATAATAGAGATGATCTTAATAAATCATATTTGCTTCCCTTGACCCTTGCTTCATTGAAAACAAATAATAAAAGATAATATTTCTTTGAAAAATCTTTATAATCCACCTTTTTAGTATCATAATTAAACACTTAAGAAGTATATGATTAAAAGAATACCTTTAATTTCTTTAGGTAAAAGGTTTCAAAATTTTTCAAAACTGTATTAATTTCTTTTCTACGACTTCAGATTATAACAGTGAAGCCCTGCTGGTCTTGGTCAGTGGTTAAGCATCGACCGCTGCACTAAGAGGTCGCTGTTTCAATTCCCAGTCAGGGCACATGCCCAGGTTGTGGGCCAAATCCCCAGTGGGGGGCATGCAGGAGTAGGCCAATCGATGTTCCTATCTCCCTCCCCTCTCCCTTCCTCTCTCTCTAAAATCAATAAAGAAAAAAAAAATTATAACAGTCAAATGAAGTTATTCCTATAGTACTACTGTCATAACATTCAACACAGAACATTAATGTAACCTTCACTGCCAGGTATGCTGAACACATACTAAGTATAAGATGATATTGAGGCATATTTGTTAATAATGTTAAGCATGCTACCAGGACGGTTGTTATGTTTTACAAACAGACAAATTTGCAGAACTATTTGAGGGTAAAATAGGATATTGAGGGTTTGCTTTAAAATACTAGAATAAAAAAGAGATGCATGAAATAAATGAAGAGAAAAAATACTGTTAATTTTTGGAGCTGGATGACAGGTTCATCAGGGCTTTTTACGATATTTTCTCTACTTCTATAACTATTTGAAAATTTCAAAGTGTTTTTAATGAAAACTGTATGTTAATACTGGAGAAAAGATGTGATCATATTAATCTTAGCATAATAATGTATTTCTGCAGAACAGAAAAATTAAGTACTTTTATTTTAGGAACTCCTCGAGATTAAAAATTAGTTTAGACTATGGACTAGAATGTACAAGATACTTTAAATTTTTCACATAAAAAGAATGCAGTTGAGTACTTAGTAACAGCAAAAACATCCTTATAATCAACTACAAAACCAAAACTTAACTCTGATCTCTTTTCTGCTTTAATCCATAACATTCTATTCCATCCAGAGTTCTATCAAGTGTACAAAGTGTTCCAAGATCACAGAACAAAGTGTCTTCAACTCAAAGGCAAGCTACTGCTGGTGTATAACCAATAGCATCAACCTTCTGTAGATAAAAATAGCCTTCAAACACTGCATGCACCAAAGACCAAAGACCCAGGGAAAGTCAGGCAGAACAAAGTGGTTACCAGGGAGGAATTCGGCCAGCCGAGAGCTTGCCCTTTTGCCCTTCACACAAGAGTCTGTTCGCAACTGAGACTGGGTTCTTGATTCCTATAAGATAAAATTGGCAGAAAATGAAGTAAAAAAAGAAAATGTCTTCAAGTCTTCCACTCAGTTTTGTAGCAATTTCAATCAAAACAACTTTTAAATATCTTGGAAAACTCTTATTTTATATACTAATAAAAACCCTTAATTATCATGAATGATACAGAACAAACAATAAATACATGAATACCTAGTAAATGCAAGAAAAGAACAAATATAAAACATACCTTTTCATGTTTTGTCATATGCTACAGCAGCAAAGACTGAATTTGAAATAACACATTTTTAAATTAGGTTCCTTTTAAATAGATTTCAGAGTAACAGACTAGAAAAATGAAATGAAAATGTGGCATCTACAATCAAAACCATGGATTTCCTCTAAACACGACTACAAATAGCTTCAAATTTACGTTGGGGAGAAAAATTAATGGCCAAATATTCTAAATCTCACCTGCAAGAAGGACTGAATATAGAGGAGGTCCTGTGAATTAGGTTAGGGTAGGGAGACAAGACCAAGTATATACAAGATTGTAACCTAAAGTATGGTTCAGATTGCTTCCAGGAGGGAAAACAGAATGTGAAAAGTGAAAAATGGGTGCTTATCTGGGAGGAATAATAGGGCAGTATGAGTGCGAAAAACTTTATCAGGATGACAATAACAATGATGAGAATGACAGAAGACAGTGATAATCACTTAATACCTAGTATGTGCCAGGTCCAGCATAATTCCTTAAATATAATCAGATTATTTAATTGATCCCTTCGCTCTAGCACATAAATACACTTATGAGCCCTATCTCATTACTGAGGAAACATTTGTACAGAGGGCTCAGTCACCTGTCCAAGATCACAGTGCTGAGATTTTAAGAAAGGCAGCTCATGCAGAGACTATGCCCTTAACCACTAACCTATGGATGCCTCTCAGGACACTACTAATGCAAAAAAAAAAAAAAAAAAAAATCAGCATTGGGATATAAAGAGGCTATAATTCAAATTAGGACCACCAGATTGACATAAAATAAAACTGACTATTTAGCTTAATATGAAAAACTGTCACACACAAAAATATGAAATACCAAAGGACAGAAAGGTTTAAAATATAATTTCCTTCCTTAAAAACAAAAATGTATATACATATCTGGATAAATTATTCAATATTGAATATTGTAGACATTAATAATTGTCAACTTATAAACTCAAATCTATTAATTCAAAATTTCAAAAGCATTTATATAATGTATGACAAGCCAACTCAAATTCATAGGGAAGAGTAAACTGGAAAAAAATTAAGAGGTATTCACCCAATGAGATACTATTTTTATTAAAATCTATTCTAATTAAAGGAGTGTGGTTTGAGTACAAAATAGACAAATATGTCAACTGATTAACATACAGACACGTGAATTTGGATGTTTAATACATGATATAAACAGTATTTCAAATGAGTAGGACAAGAATAGAAAAGATATGAGAAGTAGAAAGAACACAGAGTGCTGAAAGTCAGACTATTTTATAACTGTACCAGCTATCAATTATTTGATTCTCGGTTATAAATTCACCCTTTGTTGCCTGATCTATAAAAATAGAAAAGGGCCCTTTAAATGTTTCCTTTGCCAGCTGGCACACTGATATACTTTGTCAGTAGAGGGCACTGGAGACACATTGCAGGAGGAAAGGGTGGCTTGCTATCCAGGCTCCTGGAGAACACCATTTTTTTCTCCACTATTTGGTCCACATGGTAGTTTCTAGCGCTAAGTGACTGCAGGGTGCTGTTTTCTCCAGCATTTGGCCACCACATGTTTTCCCCAGCTCCTGATTCAGGCCACAGCAGCATAGCTGACAGCCTCAGAAAGAAAAGAACTGTCTCCAGCTCAAGTCACTGATCCCTACATCTCCTCTGCCCCAGAGGCACACATGACAAAATGCCCCATCTGGTTGATTATCTAATGGGCCAAAAGCCCAATTATTAGAGGTTTAATTCCCATGGCTTCCTGACTTCTGTGTGCCTACCTACCAGGCTAAACTCACCTGAGACCCCCCCCCCCAAGACTGTTCCTCTTCTCTCAGTGACTATGGCCTGGGTACCCCAGCAACTTCTCCACCTGACAGTGGGCTGCAACCATACTTTCTACAACTAGGTCTAAACCCCCTTCCAAGTTTATCCCTACTTGGGTATTCTCCATCTGCCCTAGAATACACTTTGAGTTTTCTTTCCATCTTTATACAGCTACTTTCCTATCACTGTGTAATAATTCTTTATATTAAACTTCTCCTGTTTAAACTCTGTGTGGTTTCTATCTCCTAGTTGGACTCAGACTGATAGATACAGTGACCTTGGGCAAATTACTAAATCTCTCTTGCGTATATTTCCTCATCCGTAAAATAGAGGGGGGAAAGGTATTGATTGACCTCATGTTTTTGTGAGAACTAAATGATTTAATATATATAAACTACTGAAGAAAAATGCATAGTAGGTAACAGTTATACAATAAATGGTCATTATCATTACTGTTGTTATACAATAAATTATGTAGAAACAATTTGTTGGTCATTTCAGAAAAATAAACAATGCATTCAAGAGTTAAATAAAAATTAGAAGAAAATATAGGTGACCATACTTATAATTATGAGAGAGAGAAACCTTAAGAAATGCAAAATGCAAAAGCCACAAAAGAGAAAGTAATTAAGTTTGACAAATAAGAATTTTAAATTCCAATATGATAAAGCTCCTTATAAATAGTTTTAAAAGGCAAGCCAACAAGAGGTTTTTTGTTTTTTTTTAATCCTCACCCGAGGACATTTTTCCATTTTTTGTTCAGATAGAGCGGGAGGAAGAGAGAGGAAGAGAGAGAGGAGAGAAACATCGATGTGAAGGGACACATCGAGTGGCTGCCACCCGCACGACCAACCAGGGCCGGGGACAAACTGCAACTGAGGTACGTGCCCTTAGCGGGAACCGAACCCGGGTCTCTCTATACCGCAGGCCGACGCTCCAACCGCTGAGCCAAACCGGCCAGGGCCAACAAGAGATTTAAACAGTTCATAGAAAAATGTTAATGGCCTTTAAACATATGAAACTTCACTAAATACCAATAGAATATTTTATAATAAAAGAAACTAAAATAAAAACTAATTGAAATATCCTTTCTTACCTATCATGCAAATCAGAAAGGATACAGAATGTTGGAACAAATGAATGATCAAATAGACCTACGTGACACGTATAACATGCACCCAACTGCAAAATATATACTCTTTTGAAGTTCACATGGAACATTTGTCAAAACACCATAATCTGGGCCATAAAGCAAGTCTCAAAAAGCTTTAAGGGCTTGGAATCTTACAGCATATATTCTCTGACCACAGTGAAATTAAAATAGAAATCAATAATGAAAGCTAATTAAAAAGTCTTTAGGCAAATAAATTTGAACACTCATATGAGAAAGACAAATTCCTTGAAAAACACATACGAGAAAAAGAAAATACAGTCTTATAACTATTAAAGAAACTGGATCCCCTTTTTTTTTAACTTCCCAAAGAAACTCCATACTAATTTAGAATAACTAATGAATTCCTCCAAATAATTAAAAAGAAATCATTCCAATCATACACAAACTCTTTCAAAGATCAGAGAGGAAAAAAAACCTTAGCTCATTCTATGAGACCAGCCATACATACCATGATTCAAAACCTGAAAAGATTATAAGAAATATTAAAACCTATCTATTATGTGAACACAGATGTCAAAAATCTTGAATATCAGCATTAATATTAAAAAATAAAAACTTATGACCAAGAAGGTTTTTGTGCCAAGAAAGGAACATAAATTTTATCGCATTTAACAAAATAAAGGAGAAAAATTCAAAAACACTTAATGATATTCAATACCCCATTTATAATAAAAACTATCAGCAAACTAATATTAGAAGGAAACTTCTTCAATAAGATAAAGAGCATCTATGAAAATCCTACAACTAGCAGCATACAGAATGGTGAAATATTTAATGTTCTGTCTTTAAAATCAGAAAAAAGCAAGCATGTACTCTATTATCCTTATATTCAACATTGCCTTGGATGTCATAGCCAGTAATAATAATCCAAGAGAGAAATAAAGAATTTAAACAGTGGAAAGAAAAAAGCAAAACTGCCATGATTCACAGGTAACATAACAGAAATTCCAAGGGAATTTATTTTTTTAACTCTAATACGCACTTGGAAACCAGAAAATTCATGTGACTCACTTTACTGGGATATTCACTTTATAGAGGTGGTCTGGAACAGAACCTAAAACATTTCCAAGGTATGCCTATATGTCATTTGAATTTTTTAACAATAAAATATATTATTTCAAATAATTATACAATTATAATTTCAAATAATTATAAAATTTATAGAATATGCTAAAACATTTTAAATGTCTATAATCTCTTGAGGGGATGGAAGAGAATGATCACAATCTCTTGAGGGGATGGAGGAGCATAATCAAACACTAACAAAAACAATCTTGCCCCGCCAGTGTGGCTCAGTGAATTGAGCATCATCCCATGGACTAAGAGGTCCCGGTTCAATTCCCAATCAGGGCACATGCCTTAGGCACAATATAGGGCATGCAGGAGGCAGCTTATCTATGTTTCTCTCTCAGATCAATGTTTCTAACTCTCTCTCCCTTTCTCTCTCTCTAAAAAAACCAATAAAAATGCCCTGGCCGGTTTTGCTCAGTGGTCAGAACATCGGCCCATGGACCAATGAGTAGTGGGTTCAATTCTAGTCAAGGGCACATACCTCGGTTGCAATTTGTGCGGGCCCTGGTTGGGGTTGTGCGGGAGGCAGTCACTAGATGTGTCCCTTTTGCGTCGATGTTTCTCTCTCTCTCTCTCCCCCTCTCCCCCCCCCCCCAACTCTATCTGAACAAAAGTGGAAAAGTGTCCTTGGGTAAGGATAAAAAAAAAAATCAATAAAAACACATTTCAAAGACTATTCATAGCTAAAATTTCATATTTTAAATTCAGTAAAATTTTTTAAAAAAGTTTGTTTTCAATGCTATTCCAAGCAAGAATGGTGGAAAAAACTTGACTAAGTTTTTAGGTGGCATAGAATAGTAATATTCATAGTTTTTTTAAAGAACAGAGATAGTGTGTTATAGTGTCCACATACCACTCAGTGCTCCAACAGCTCCGAAATTTAAGGATTTTCCATCCATTATGCTGGCATCACACTCAATTTCACCCAAGAGATTTAGATTAGATCCCATTCCTGCATTTGTAAACGGAGAATCCTAAAAGATAAAAACAAAAATTAAAATACCTTTAGTCTTAAGGTAGATTTGATGCCAATCCTTCATAAACTGTTCCATAAACTACAAAGTGAAAGAACACTTCCCAATTCATTATATGATAGCAACATTACTGTGATTACAAAACAAAACAAAGACAATGTGAGGAATGAAAACTACAGACCAATATACCTTATGGATATTGACACCAAAGATCCTTAAGGAAATACCAGCAAACCAGATGCAACAAAATATAAAAGGATTATGAAAAAGAGGAATCCCAGGAAAGCAAGTTTGGTTTAATATCTGAAAATCAATGTAATTCACCATGTTAAAGAAGAACCAAAAAACAAGACACCATTATCATTGCAAAACAGACAAAGAAAAGAATTTTTAAAAATCCAATATATGCCCGGGCTGGTGTGGCTCAGTGGTTGAGCATCCACCCATGTATCAAGAGATCGCCAGTTCTATTCCCAGTCAGGGCACATGCCCAGGTTGTGGGCCAAACACCCAGTGAGGGGCGTACAAGAGGTAGCCAATCAATGTTCTCTCTCATTGATGTTTCTGTTTCTCTCTTCCTCTCTCCCTTCCTCTCTCCCTTCCTCTCTCTCTCTCTAATCAATAAAGAAAAAAAAATTTTTTTTAAGAAAAAATCCAACATCCTTTCATGAAAAAAAAAAATTTTCAACAAAACAGAAGTAAAAGGGAGCTTCCTTAATATGATAAAGGGCATCTACAAAAAGTCCAGTGCTAACAGCAATATTAATAGTGAAAGACTGAATGCTTTCCCCTAAGATCAGAAACAAGCTAGTAACACAATGTCAACTCTCATCACTTCTATTCAGCATTATACTGGATATTCTGGACAGGACAAATAGGTAAGAAAAAAATAATAATAAAGAGTATCTACATTGGAAAAGAAGAAGTAAAGTTATCTCTATTTGAAGATAACATGCTCTTTTATACAAAAAATTCTCAGGACTCCACTAGAAAAGTTTTAGAACTTATAAACAAGTTCAATGGGGTTACAAGATACAAGATCGATATGCGAAACTCAATTGTATTTCTACACACTAGCAATGAAATATCCAAACATAAAATTAAGAACACAATTTCACTTATAATAACAGCAAAAAGAATATTTACGAATAAATTTTAACAAAAGAAGTGTAAGACTTGTACACTAAAAACTACAAAATTTAAAGACCTGCCCTGGGGAGTGGCTCAGTGGGTTGGAGCATTGTCCAGTGCACCAAAACTTTACGGGTTCGATTCAGGTCAGGGTACATACTAAGGTTGCGGGTTCAATCCCCAGTCAGGGTGCATATGGAAGGCAACCAATTTATGCTTCTCTCTCACACTGATGGTTCTCTCTCTCTTTCTCCCTTCCTCTCTCTCTCTAAAAATCAATAAAAATATATCCTCGAGTGAGGATTAACAAAATAAATTAAAGACCTACACAAATGTTAGGAGAGCCATGCACATAGATGAGAAGGCTTAATATCAGGCTTTTTTTTTTAATTGATTTTAGAGAGAGAGAAAGGGAGGGGGGGAGAGAGAGAGAGAGAGAGAGAGAAACAATGATGAGAGAACATCGACTGGCTGCCTCCTGAATGCCATCCACTGGGGATTTGGCCCACAACCTGGGCATGTGCCCTGACTGGGAATCAAACCAATGACCTCTTGGTGCATGGGTCGATGCTCAACTACTAAGCCACAGGCTTAATATATTTATTATATTAATATATAATATTAATATTATATTAGGCTGGGCAAGGCTTAATATATTTAAGATGTTGCCCTGGCTGGTTTGGCTCAGGGGTTAGAGCGATGGCCAAGGACGGCCCACAGACCAATGAGTGTCAGGTTTGATTCCGGTGACAGGCACGTACCTTGGTTGCAGTTCATCCCTGGCTCTGGTCGGGGTCATGCGGGAGGCAGCCAGTCGATGTGTCTCTTTCACATTGATGTTTCTCTTTTTCTCTCTCTCTCTCTCCTCCTCCCTCCCACTCTATCTGAAGATAGACAGAAAAATATCCTCAGGTGAGGAATAAAAAAAAAGATGCAACAGTGCCCAAATAGATCTGAATCAAAAAAAAAAAAAATCCCTTATCAAATTCTAGCAGCCGTTTTTAGGGTTTTTTTTTTACAAAAATTGACAAACTAATCGTAAAATCACATGGAAATATAAGGAATTCCAAACAGGCAAAACAATCTTGAGAAGAAAAACAAAACTGGAGGGCTCACACACCTCTAGGTTTTAAAATTTACTACGTAACTATAGTAATCAAGACAGTGTGATACAAACATATCACTAAGGATAAACAGATGAATCAATACGCCCTGACTGGTTTGGCTCAGCAGTTAGAGCATCAGCCCGCAGACTAAAGAGCCAAGGGTTCTATTCCAGTCAAAAGCATGTATCTCAAGGGCACATTTCTCTCCTGCGATTTGGGAACCCTCCCTCCTACTCTACCTAAAGATAAATGGAAAAATATACTCAGGTGAGGATTTAAAAAAATAAAAAACAGATCAATGCAATAGCACTGAAAGTCCAGATATAAGCCTCCCATTTATGGTCAATTCAATAATTCAATAAAGAATAGTCTTTTCCATAAATGGTTTGGGGACAATTAGCTATCCATATGCAAGAGTATGAAGTTAGACTATCCCACACCATATACAAAAATTAACTCAAAGGGATCAAAGACCTAAATGTAAGAGCTAAAACTATAAAATCCTTCAAAGAAAACAAAAGGGCAAATGTTATATAGTGCCAAAAGCACAAGCGACAAGGAAAAAATTAAGTAAATTGGACTCCATCAAAATTAACAGCTTTGTGTTTCCAAGTACACCATAAAAGAAGGTAGAAAGAAAAAAACCACACACACACACAGCATGAGAAAAAAGCTCCAAATCATATATCTCATATTTGCCTCCAGAATACATAAAAAAAAATTCCTACAACTCTAAAATAAAAAGATAACAGAATTTTTAAATGGGCAAAAGATGTAAATAAACATTTCTCCAAAGAAGCTATGTAAATAGCCAATAAGCACATAAAAAGATATTCAAAAACATTAGTCATCAGTGAAAGGCAAATCAAAACCACAATAAAATACTACTTCACACCCACAGTTCCATTTACAATAACATCAAAAAGAATCGGAGAGACAGATGTGTTGGCAAGGATATGAAGAAATTAGAACCCTCATACATTGCTGATGGGAATGTAAAATGGTATAGCCACTTTAGAAAACATCTGGAAATGCCTCAAAAAGTTGAACAGTTACCATTTGAACCACCAATTCTATTTCTAGCTTACATACATCCAAGAGTAATGAATTGTCTACACAAAACCTGCACATGAATAGACACACGCATGACACATGGACTCAGACAACAGTGTGGTGATGGCCAGAGGAAAGGGGGCTGCGGCCAGGTGGAGGTGGGCAAAGGGGCCTGGGGATGGGAACATCTGTAACAGTGTCAACAACAAAAATAAAGTTAAAAAAATAAATTTAAATTTAAAAAACACACTATCTTGTTTTTCTAATATAATAGATAAAGTTTTTAAAAATATATATCACTAGTCTTGGTATATATATCATCATACATGATCTCCGGCAAAAGAATATGTGAAAAAGCTAATAATATAAAATTTTACAATAAAAATATCATGGGGACAAAGTCCCAAGTGTCTCTATTTTTTGAAAAGAGGAGGGCAAGGGAAAGAGACTAGATTGACACTTCTTAGAGAGTTATTCCATAGACAAAGAACATACTCCAAAATAACTGAGAGCCATAGACCATGAACAACTCTACTCACAGTTTAGAAATCTAAGTCAATCCAGAAAATTAACTGTTCTAAGGTTAATACCAAAATTAACTAGGAAATCAGGGCAATTTGGACCAACCTAAAGATCACCAAATGCCCCAAATCATCTATAAATGTCCCCAGTTTCATAGATTTCTGTCAAATCCAAGAAAAACTGACAATATTAAAACCTAACTAATATGCAAAGAGGTCAAGGATTTGAGACCAGGGCTTTTGTCCTAATGCAATTAGTTAGACAATTTAATTGTCCACAGAATTTTAAAAATAAGACAACAGGATAGAAGATGCATAAGGGCTGCATAATTAAATAGAAAATGAATGATACAGATGATCAATATTTTCAGCACTCAAAAGAAAATAGCCCAGTATCAGATGGAGAAGTTAACAGCAGGCTTGCTGAAAGATGTTCAACAGCAGCAAAAACTAGCCAGGAGGCTAGAAAATTCCAGTTGGTGGAAATGATGTGAGCGTATAAGCAAAGGGAACATGTCAGAGCCACAGAAGGCACACTCAGCAAAAGGGACTAGTGGGAGCCAAATATGGAGACTTCCCTGTGCCACTCATCAGACCCTAGAGTTAATTGGGAAAACAGTGAGATGCCAATCAAGCTTTCTGTATAAGAGAAAGACAAGATGAAGTATATTGGTTAAGGAAACATAAACTGACATTCATATATTGTATAAAAAAGAAGAGGAGCCCTGGCCGGTTTGGCTCAGCGGTTGGAGCATCGGCCTGCAGACCAGGGAGTCCCGGGTTCGGTTCCCGTTAGGGACGCATACAAAAAAAAAGAAGGGGAAGAGACTTGGTATGGAATGATAGCAGTGAGAATAGAAAAGATGGAGAGGAAAAAATAAGAACTTTCAAATGTCAGAGACAGATAAAATCGTCAGTAAGAAAAGGCACTTCATAAGATGGAGGGAAGAGTGTGCGTGATTAGGCATAATAATTTTGAATGAGGTCTTCCATGTGAGTATTTCTAGCTAAATCAGTTCCAAATTTTGGGAGAGAGATTACAACTAAAAAAAAATCATGGCTTAAAAACAGATAAAGACTAAATTCTTGCCCGGATTATTTCAAATTTTGAAAAATATAAAAATCCAGATCAGAAGTCTCAATAGCATATAACAGGGATTGTAAGCAAAGTAAATTACCACTATATTAC